CAAAGCGCCCTGGCACCCGCCTGTGGCCCCGGGCTGTCCCCCACACGCTGGGTCTGTCCCCAGCACCCGCAGTGCTTCCAGCACCCCTCCTGCAGCCTGTCCCTAGCGCCCTGAGTCTGTCCCCGGCACCCATCCTGCTCTGCAGTCTGTCCCAGCAGCAGCCTGGGTCTGTCCCCAGCAGCCTGGGTCTGTCCCCAGCACCTGCACTGCCTCCAGCGCCAGTCCTGCAGCCTGTCCCCAGCACCTGCCCACAGCTTGTCCCCAGCACTCCAGCCTGTCCCTAGCACCCCATTCATGTCCCTAGCACCCATCCTGCTCCAGTCCCCAGCCCTCCATGCCTGTACCCACCTCCCACCCTGCAGGTTGTCCCCAAATCTTCAGTTGTGTCCCTAGCCCCTTGAGTCAGTCCCCAGCACCGACACTGCACCCTGTCCCCAGTGTCCTCACACAGCTCACCCCCTGCTCCCCACACCTGTCCCCAGCACCCCAGCCTCCTTCCAGCACCCCAGTTGTGTCCCCAGCACCTCTGCCCTGTCTCCAGCGCCGTGGATTGCTCCCAGCACCCATCCCATAGCTCGTACCCCGCACCCCAGGCCTGTCACCAGGACCTTGAGTCTGCCCCAGCACCCATACAGGACCTGTCTCCAGCACCTATCCTGCAGCCTGTCCCCAGCACCTCAGCCTGCTGTAGCACCCCAACTATATCCCTAGCACCCACACTACAGTCTGTCCCCAGCACTCTCCTGCAGCTTGTCCCCAATACTTCACACCTGTCCCCAGCACCCATCCTACAGCTTGACCCCAACACCCCAGGCTTGTCCCCAACATCCCCAATGTGTCTGTCCCCAGCACCCACAGTGTAGCTTGTCCCCAGCTCCCTGAGTCTGTCCTCAGCACCCTATGCAGCTTGGCCCCTGCTTGTCCCCAGCACCCCAGCACCCCAGTCAGCTCCAGCACTCTCATGCAGCTTGTCCCCAGCACCCCGTGCTGGCCCTGCCACCCCCCTCTCCAAGAAGCAGAACACAAAGGCGGCCGTCAGCAGGGAGCACTTTACCAAGCTCAGGGTGGGGGTCTGAAATACAACATCCAGGAGAAAAAAACGTGGCTCCCCCGCCCTGTGCCCGCGATGGCACCGACACCGAGACTGAGCTCGTCATTGCCCGGCAGCAATGGCCTGTGGCACCCAGGCCTGCAGGCTGCTTTTGCTGCAGTGACACAGCCAGAGGAGAAAAAAGAAGGAAGGGAGGAAAAGGAAGGAAAAGGAAGGAAGGAAAAGGAAGGAAGGAAGGAAGGAAGGAAGGAAGGAAGGAAGGAAGGAAGGAAGGAAGGAAGGAAGGAAGGAAGGAAGGAAGGAAGGAAAAAAAGTTTTCTACATTCATTTCGGTGGGGAGAGGAGGAAACAAGCGGCTAGGGGTCAGTTCTTGCCCTGGAACTCACAGGGAGGAGCTGATTCCTCGGAGCATGGAGGAGGACGCAGTTACGTGGCCTAGACCCTGGTGCAGCCAGGATTTCATCCCAGTACAGCTGGGAATGGGGCTTGAGACGTCT